TTGACCTTGCTGATAATCAGAGTAATCAATTGCTTAATTGATGAGAATTAAGATTAAATACTTCATCTCTCTCCAACCATCTAAAAAAACTCTCATTATTTCTTTAAATTCCAGCAATCAGAGATTCATTTGAGCTACCAAGACTGCTTTTTTTCAAAAATACAAATAAGCCTGCAAAGGCTGGCTATCATTAGCAGTATAGAGCATATCCATCGTAATCAGATTGCTTTCCTCTTATATTTGGCTTGAGAGCATTCTTGATCAGCTGATCAACGGATTCTTTGTGGATCCGGTATCAGCCAGGGTCTGTCATAACTCATAATCAAGTGATAGTAAATGGAGCGTAAAGGCAGTACAGGGTGGGGTTGAGAGCACAGTGTTTGGAGTCACACAGACCAGAGGTTGAGTGCCAGCCATACGCTATGATTTGGGAAGTTACTTGATCTCTCACAGTGTTCGTTTCCTCCACATGTGTAAAGCTGGCTCGTTAATAATAGCATTTATCTCCTGGAGATGCAGCAAGTATTGAAAAAGATTCAGCCTTTCTCTACCCAGTTCCCTATGAGAGAATCAATTCTTAACGTCTTAAAACATTCATTACATCTAATGACTTAACTGCTCCCCTATGCATCTAACATAGTGCTAGCTCTGTATCCTTCTTGGGACAATTGAGAAAAGAGTCACTAAAATATAGGTCAATTGTTTAAAACTCTCGTGGAACACAGGTTGAAAAAGCTTCGGGCATCAACAGTGCATGGTTTGTGGTAAACTCTAAACAAATGACCGCTATTATTATACAGAGGGTGATTTTAGCTGTAAGAACAGCATAAAAGAACTAGGAAATTGAGTCTCTATATGATGATTAAATCACTGTATAACTTTAGTGACTGCACAACTTGGCTGTGTCTTAAGTTCTGCATATAAATAAGGAAAATTCCTTGTGACTCAAAAGGGGATGTCAGGCAGTACGTCATTTGAGGTATGTTGCACTTGTCACAGAGTAGGTGACTTAAGAATATTGTTAATTTGTGTTAATGGATGTTAGTGTTAAATGCATGCCAGATCAGACAGCATCTGACCTGCAAACTTTAGAGGCATAAGTCAAATCCTGGGCCCCCCCATACAGCCTCTTGCATATTGTTCCCTATCTGAGGAATGAACAGCCTGAGTTGGAAGGTGTCTTCTGCCATGCAGTAGCATCCAAGCACAGTCATCGAATTTTACATAGTGTCTTTGCTCACAACAGATGCCCAATTAATATCTGCTGAATGAATGAAAGATTAAGAATGCACTAGAAACATTACCTCACTCCTAGCCTATAAAGCATTTGCAGATGAAGAGAAACTCACTGCTATAAAGATATGATGATGAAACCAAGTGTATTTTCTGCTAAGCTGATGTTTACTCATAAACTTTAACCTAAGATTATTACTATTAGTTCTATCTTCCAAGTGCACTGTGAACTGACCTGAGAATGCAATCACCAATCACTGTTTGAGTGGGACATTTTGTGATATAAGTTCAAATGATCCAACATAACATTAACTTTCGGAACCTAAACTGTTGGGAAGTCAGAAAGTGCCCTCGCTGAAGCTAACAGGATGGCAGAGCTACTGGGACCAGGCTTAGGTTTCTATGCTTGTCTTTAGAAAGCAAGCAAATGCAAACACGGCTCAGAATGAAGTCACTGCAGGGTGTTCCCTTCTTTTGGCAAGAAAGAAGTTATGGATTGGCTGCTTCAGCATTTAAAGAATCATAACCAGATACAAATTAAAGATATATCCCATTACTCATAATGTGCAGAAATGGGAATCACTCTAATGGGATCATTTCTCATGCATATAACCAAGCTGACAAGACTGTATTCAAGCATCTCTTCTCCAGTAGTTCCCTTGCAATCACTGAAATTAGATTCCTGTTAATAATGGAATTGTTAACAAATAAGAGACTATAGTTGACAGAGATGTAAACCCTTTTTGGAAAATCCCATTTTTAGAAAAACAGGATTAAATGGACCAAGATATTTACTGACTCTGTGAAAATGCTTTTAGTATAATAAAACCAAATCAATTTATATAAAGAACATCAAATAATATATATAAGTGTATTATATAAATTTAGTCTTCTTATGGTATACCTTCTTTTTCCATCTCCAACCTCACTTCTCTTTGCAAAATTTTCCAAAGGGAGGAGTACATAATTTGCATATGTTAGAATGAAAATTACCATGTGTAGATCCATCTGCTAAATGCCATCTACGTTTATAATACATATAAGGAACATCCGCATTTATAATACATATAAGCCACTCCTAATTTAAGTCATATGTTATTTCGTATACTTTTTGAAAAGAATTTGACAGTGGAAAGTGCATCATAATCTAGTGGAACCCCATCGAGTTTTACAAATGTCCAGAAACAATGTCCAGAAAGTTGTCACCTACAGACGTCTCAGAGTCACAGAATGGCAGAGCTGGCACCAGGGCTCACGTCTGCTCAATGGTACTCAGGGAACTCTCCACTGTCTCTCTCTCTCTCACACACACACAGATGCACACACGCGTCATATTGCTCATAGTCTGTTCAAAAAGTAAATAAAACAACACATGGTAAATTAGGAATGGGACTTGAAAGTAAAGTGTGTATGACAGAAATAGGACACCTTAATGGCAATAGTGATGCCAACAAATTACATTCTTTGGTATTTTGCATGAATTAGAGCTTTAAGGGAATCTAGAGACTGGATCCAAGTTCCTAACTCCATCATTCAGCAAGGTGGTTGTACATTTAGGTTCCCCTGAGTACAAGAGCACTGAATTAGAGTCTTGTTTTCATTTCTCTCTTTTGACAATTTATGAGAAAAGAATAAAGCACTATGTGATAGTAAAGGGGAAGAGTGTTCATCTACCTCGAATAGTCATTTCTACCATGACAGTTTTCCGGGAACATTCCCTAACCCAGGCTCCAGTTCACTGGTGCCTGGATTTCACCAATGAGACAACCGGGTCCTCTGGGCTGCAAGCCCTCTCCCCTCTTCCCACGCTGCGCCCACTGCCGGACTCTCTCCTTTAAAACGTGGTTTGCATCATATCACTCCCTTACTCAAGTCACGTGATGGTGTGTGTTTAACTGTTTATTCATGTCCAAGTAGGTTAATCTGGCTTTTTTTGGTTCTTGATAATCTGTGTGCCTCTTAGAAATTCTACTTTCTGGCAGGCTGATCGCCTGTCTTTCCAGTAAAGCACCCTCAGCCCAATCACCAACCCTCCACTAACTGCTTTTTTTCTTGTCTCTTCCCCCTTTCTTCTCTATTATTTCAAGTCCTAGCCAAGCCCCAAGGCACCTACATGGCCTCCACGCATCCTCTCTCCACTACTCTACCCTACTCTACTCCACCCATTCTTGAGTTGTCCCTTTATGGTTCCATGAATTTTTCTCTAATTGTTTCATATTGTTGGCCTTGCATTCCCAAATTCAACATAAATTTTTTTAGGGCAATAATCCTGTCTTAGGAATCTCTTGAGTCCTCTTCACATTCCCATTTCTACATACTCCAGCATCTTGCCCACCGTGGCAGAGTCTCCGTGAAGACCTTGACTGTCGAACAGTCCAGACGAGCTGGAGGAAGAAGATGCCAGCTACATCCAAGTGACGCTGGCAAAAGCACCGGTGCCCTTTCTAGACCTATGTCTCCACCCTATTGCTCCTTTCCATTACATCACTGACTCTAAATTGTTACTGACTTCTTCCTCTGTGGGGTTTGTTACATGAGTCCCTTTTCTTTAACCTCAGTCCTAAATCTGATCACCGCCAACCAAGTTCACGATCCCGTTTTAGCCACCTCTCTTACTCCAAGCACACAGCCAAATACAAGCTTTGCTTTAGGTTCCACCTCCTTTTTCCCCATAAGAGAAATCCCCATCCTTTTCATTTGCGGTGCCCTCTTCCTAGGCTTGAAGGTCAGAGCGATATCATGGCGACACTTCGCCTGTGTAGACACTCCTCTTCCCACATTAAATGCCCCCAGCCTACATGTCACCGCACCCCACCCAAGACTAGAAAATATCACTGGCTTCCTCTCCCTCCCCTCCCCCAATGGCCACGATGCAGAGGGGACACCTCCACCCCTGGCGTCTTCCCCCTGGAAGCCTTCTTGCTACTTTCCAGCTGCATCTGAAGCTCCAAGTCTCCCGTGTGAGCACTGACCCCCAAGGAGGGGCAGGGGTGGGAGCTTCTAGAGGGTTCCAGGCACCCCTGCTACCCCTCCCACTATCCACTCTGCGCTTGCACCAGGTGATCACATCCAGTGGTCCTTAAATTCACAACCCAGGATTTAACCTTTGATGTAAAGAAAAGTTTTCCTTCCACCATTTCTCCTTAAATAGGAAATAATGGATTCCACGCATTTATGTGTCCATCCACAGCGTGGCCAATAAAGCATGCCATCCGTTGCCCTTGGCTTCCCTGTGAGCAACAGGAGACTCAGGGCCCAGAAGTGAGTCTCCTTTTCTTGTCCTGCTTCTCTTGCCTGCTCCCGCCAGCTCTGCGTCCCCCACCTGTCTCTCGCACACCAAGCAAATTGCTGTCCTGCTTCTCCTCACTCCCTGCCAGTATCTGAACTCACGGAGTCCCCTTTCCTCTGCGTCCTGCTGGGTGTCTTGCTGGGTCTGTACTCCCACGTGGGCGTCCCACCCGCAGGGCAGCGCCCCCGGCCGCGGTGGCACCTGGCCGGCTCCGCCTGGCCCTCGGCTCTGCCCCCGCCACGGCCCGGGCTCCCTTCCGCCCTCGGGCCTCCCCGTGCACAGGGACAGCCTGCGACAGGTGCAGCCAGCCGCCCGGTTGCCCGATCCCTACCGGGGCGCCCTCCAGGTCGTCACAGTTCTCCGGCTGCACCTGCCAGCAACGCGCGCCAGGTGTCCGGAGCCGGCGCGGTGCAGGGGTCGCCTTCCCGCCACTCCAGCCCACACTTTCCTCCGGCTCCGAGCCCAGCGCGCCACTTACCCAGGGCCAGGGCCAGCAGCAGCGGCCGGGAGCCAGCGCCGCTGCCCGGGGCGGCCCGGTCCATCCACCCGGCTCTGCAGGGCCGGGCAGCCCGGGCCGAGTGTCCCCGCGCCTCCCGCGCCCCCTTCCCGGGCCCCGCGCGCCCGAGCCGGTGCCTGGAAACCTGTCCCGGAGCCAGGAGGAAACGAAACCACTGGGCTGGCGGCACCCTTGCCGCCGCGGGCAGGGACGCGCGGGCTCCGCGGGTGTCGCGGGTGTCGCGGGGCGGAGGCGCCTCCTATTTATCCCGCGCCTCACACCCCAGCCAGGGCGCGGGACTCGGTCGTGGCCGCCCTGCGCCGCTCCCACCCAATTGCCCCACACCCAGACCCACACCCAGGGACAGATTCGGGCCGCCCCGGGCCGGCTCACCCGCTCCCCCTGCTGGGTCGGACCTGGCTGTTCAGGTCCTCCCCCCGGGGAGCAGTCAACAAGGCAGGGAGCACGAGAGCCCGCTGGAGGAGCGCAGGTGTGCCCCACCGCCTGCACGGGGGCCCGGCCCCCGCCCCACTGCAACTCCAGCTTCCCTGACTGCAGCGGGTCGTTAGTGTCACCGAGAGACCAGAGCCACCACTCACTGCGGTGACCTCAGGCATTTGATAGTTTACAAGCCTTTCTGTGACACGCAGGCCTTGGAAAGTCATTGCTGTCTTCAAAAGTCTTAAAACGAGTGCCTTAGTTTTCAGTGTGCGTTGTCTCCTAATAATTTCTGGAATATCTGGAGGCTTGGGTTCACTAGGATCTACTTTAGAAATTTCATTTATCCACCTGCTTATTTATTCATTGTATTTTCATTTATTTGATTCATTGACTCTACTATTCTCTGAATATTAGTTGGATTTATAAAAATAAGGAGAACTTTTTTTTGCTTGTGGCTTGCCAAGCCCTAGCTCCACCTCATCACACCTCCTCTTCATGGAAAGGCAGAATACAGCCGTCTGTGCCAAGCAATTTCTAGAACACGAAGACATCCCCACAACTTTCAAAGATAGAAAGAAAGCAGCATTCAGTTTTACCCTATGTGATTAACATATTTGCCTCCAAACTCACTGAAGAGAAGAGATGTTTCTGTGCTAATATATGTTCCTCTTATAAGAGTGATATGAGTAATTATGTCCCTCCAATCAGAAGTTGTATTTCTGTAGCATCCGAAAGTCCGATAAGCATTATTTCACATACGTACGAAACGCAGTTCGAGTGTCTGCCTCTCGACATCCCATTAAGTTAAACAAATTGTTAAGCGCTTTTCTTCTATAACTGACATGTCATTTCGAAACCGATTCAAATTATTTTAGTGCCCCAGGCAACTGATACATCCAGAGGAATAAAAACCAGCTCTTAATTTTCAGAATCCCATTCTAGCCCATGACAACTCATTTGGCATCAGTGGAGAGGGTGGCCAGGGAGTTTAAAGAAGCCCACGGTTGATGGCTAGAAAGCCACCGAGCCCCAGGTGAAAAGAGCAGAAGCACAGGGAGCCAAGGGGTGGACTCTCGGCACTTCTGCCCCCTTTCCTTTCTGATAGTCTCTCCCTGTCTCAGGACCAGTGCCCTAAGTTTGGCATCTCTCATTCTGAGATGACACCCTAGCCTAGCCCATCTGTCCTGTTAGCCCCAGCAGAATGCTACAACTTTGTTTTCCCTTTCCATAAATACTAATAAAAAATAAAGCACATCTAAACAAAAAATACTCTGTTGAGTATTGTAAAGTGCCAGGACTTGGTGTAAGTATTCATCATGCATGCCATTAAAAGGGTAAATTAATTTTTTCAGGCCCTCCTAGAGTATGAAATAGTGTAATTTAATATACTAACTAGGCCAGATAAATTAATAACCTTCCCTGAGGGCTTTATTTGCTGCCACAAATAAAATAAGTAGTCCTAAAATATGTCTTCCAAACTTTCTGGCACCAGAGGGCCAATCCCATCAAGGTCAGGAGAATTTCCCCTTCTTTCCTTCTGTCCTCCCATCCTTCCTTCCTCCCTTCCTCCCTCCCTTCTTTTCCTTTTCTTTTCTTTCTCTCTTTCTTTCTTCTTTCCTTCTTTCTTTCCTTTCTTTGTTTTTTCTTTTCTTTCTTTCATTTTTTCTTTCTCATTTTCTTTCTTTCTCTCTCTCTCCTTCCTTCCCCTCCTTCCTTCTTTCTTTCCTTTCTTTCTTTTCTTTCTTTCTCTCCTTTCTTTTCTTTCTCCCTCTCCTTCCTTCCTCTTCCTTCTTCCCCTCCTCCCTCTCTTCTTCCTCCTCCTTCTCCTTCTTTTTCTTCTCTCTCTCTCTCTCTCTCTCTCTCTCTCGCTTGTGGGGGAAGGTACATTTGGAATCTAACCGTTAAGTTGGAATGGTAAGAGGTAAGAATTGATCTTCCTGAGTTCTCATTCACATAACTGAGCTGTGTCTCCATGCTTTAGACTGTAAGCTGAGCTCTTACTAAAGGAAGAATTGATCAAAGTTATATCAGAGTCACAAGGTAGAACTAGTATCCCCAGAAATTGAATGGTGTCTTTCCTGTGCCAGGTGCAGGCAGGTATAACAGGTTCTCCCAAATCTGGTATGAGGCTTTAGTAGATTCCTTTCAATGGCCTTTAAGCTTCAGCCTTTTTCTCTTCCCACACAGAGCAACCTCCAGCAGGGAGATTCCTTCCCCTCCTCCTCTAAATAGGACAAAACAAACTTGTAGCTACTTTTAGAACATAACACATATACAGACACGACATGTGATCATGGAATGCATTCATTCTAGGTCAACATGTAGTCTCAAAATTATGACTTGAAGACATTCAGTAGTCTAGGAAGATTTCCTAGTGGCCCCTAATATTATTTAATTTAATAAGAGTGCGTGAATGAAAATAATGCAAGGCTTAAAAAATTATAGTGTTTTATAGTAATGATAAACTCATGCATTGTGGATTATTAAAGATTAGTTGTATGGTATATAGAGAGAACTTTCAAATATTCTATATGAAACTATTGAATTAGTCTCTAAGGAAATAAGAATGAAAAAAATCACTGCTCAAAAGCTGTAAGCAGGTAATTTGGTTCTTTAATCAAATTTATGTGAGGAGGGAGTTATCGTTATTTCTTCTTTTTCTTGCCTACTTTATTATACCTTCCTCTCCAGTCTTTAGGAGATCTGTTTTTTATATGTGTGCCTAGATCTATTTGATGGGCTATCTTTTTTAAATGACAGATTAAGACAAGTTTAATACATTTCAAACATAATCATCTCTATGATATTATAACTGTTAGTTTTAGTTCACCATTATGATCTTTTTTCTTTGGCTATTAGTTTTAGTTCACCATTATGATCTTTTTTCTTTGGCTATATTCATACATACTTCAAAAAGAAACTTCTGATTAAAAAAAAATCTGGGCTTTTTTGGTGGCACTCATTGCAGGCTAAGTAGACAAGCACCCAAGTGGCATAACTTTAATGCTATGGTATGGCAAGCCCCTAAACACCGCTCTTTAATACACTTAACACAGTGGCTTCATCTTCTCTCCCTTCTCCTCCTGACTCCCATCGGCACAGTCACCCCCTTGGGTGGGACAGTGCTGGACTATTATGCACAACTGGTTTTGACATCTACTTAGTCTGTTCAAATTGTAGCTGTGTCACTGAATGGCTGAATCACTAATTAATTACTTCTCTGAGCCTCAGTTTCCTCACCTATAAAATGTGATGGTCATGACTTGCACAGATTTTATGATTCACAATAATATATTTATCTCCAAGGAAAAAAATCTAACATTTTAGAAATCATTCAATAAATTATAGTAATTATATCATTATTAAATTTTACAGAGCACATAGAAAGAACCAGAAGGAACCAGAACTGGCTTCCTTATTGAGAGTTGAGACGGAGGGAAGGAAACAGCACAGAGCAAGGCTCTGGTGAGAAGGCAACATGAGCTGCAATCCCGTGGATTTGGGATGACCTTTGCCCCTGCATCCCCCCTTTGACCACTCTGACTTCCTTCTCCATCCTTTTTACTCCTCCTGCCTCCTCCAAATCTTTAGAGGACAAAATGGTGCATAACCCAGCATACGATAACTTCTCAAACAGTAAACAGAAAGACGTTTATTGTTTTGAAGGCCTAAATAAATGAGCAATCTAGTTTTTCAAAGCCCAAAGAAATAAATTCGTCCTTTAAGGCAAAGAAATTGATGTTTGATGAGCTTACAAATAAGCAGAATAGGAATCCCCAAAGCTGTGGATGGTTGTTCTCTCTTCTTACTCCAATGTCACAGGAAAGAGAAATAGTGAAAGGAGAGGGTAAGAAGCAGGAAGCAGCAAAGTAGGAGAGGAGCAGAGGCTTGAACCTGAAATAGCAACTTACGAAGAGCAGGAGAGCAGAATGACATCCACAGGGCAGTAAGGAAGGGGATATTTACCTTTGTATCCTGCGCATTCCTCACCCTTCTTTTGTTTTAAGTGACAACAACACTTGTCATTAACCTCAACATAATGTCTTTAGCTTAACAATCCTTGGAATTTACGCTTTTTCTGGAGATAATCACAAGTCTTCCTTTAATGACACTTTTAAATTGCTTTCACATTTCTCATAGTGTAATTTTTTTTCTGAAATGTTTCTTTAGCCCTGTGCTGTGTGCCTGACATGTGTCTGTAAATACAATATTTTTAAAATGCGGAAATGGATGTAAAATGTTCAGAAATGGCAGCATAAAATATGATAGCATGCCTGCAGAATGTTCTAGTATTATTGTCTTTTGTCCTCCAGTATGTTGAAAGTTCTTATCATTGTCCCTATTAATGGCTATAAGAGGCCTTTAATAATTTCATCAGCAGCACTACCACCAATAATGGTCCACATAAATAGTTGTTTTTGAAATTCAAGAAGTATAATGCACAAATGCAAAGAAGTCCAAGCCATATAAAATGAAGTCAGCATTGCTCTCTAAATTGGCTATTTTTAGGTTTGGGGAGATAAGGAAAAACAATTTCCATTTAATTTAATAATATTTCATCATCTACATTTGTACAGTACTTTCCCACATATAAACTATTCGACGCTAAAACAGCTGCTGAGATAGGCAGGCAGGCAGCATTGTCATGCAATTTTTTTTTTTTTTTTTTTTTTTTTGAGACAGAGTCTCACTCTTCACTCTGTTGCTGGGGAGTGAGTGCCATGGCGTCAGCCTAGCTCACAGCAACCTCAGACTCCTGGGCTCGAGCGATCCTGCTGCCTCAGCCTCCCGAGTAGCTGGGACTACAGGCATGCGCCACCATGCCCGGCTAATTTTTTTTATATACATATCAGTTGGCCAATTAATTTCTTTCTATTTATAGTAGAGACGGGGTCTCGCTCTTGCTCAGGCTGGTTTTGAACTCCTGACCTTGAGCAATCGCCCGCCTCGGCCTCCCAGAGAGCTAGGATTACAGGCGTGAGCCACCGCGCCCGGCCGTGTCATGCAATTTTGACAAAAGGAAATAGAGGTCTACATCGTCAAGGGACTGGTCCAAGTGCCAGAGTAGCCCCCAGAACCCAGATCTAAAGGGATCGGAGTTCAACAAATGGAGTGTCTTAGTGTCCTCGGCTGCCATAACAAAATACCTTAGACTGGAGGCTTACACAACGAAAATTTATTTTCCACAGTTTTGGAGGCTGGTAAATCCAAGGTCAAGGTGATTCAGTTCCTGGGAAGGTCTCTATTCCTGGCTTGCCGACAACTACCTTCTTACTGCGTGCTCACATGGCCTTCCTTTTAGCGTGTGCGTGGGGAGAGAGAGAGAGAGACAGAGAGAGATCTTCCCTTCAGAAAGAGGCCTTTCTCTTCTTCTCACAAGGCCACCAATCCTGTCAGATTAGGACCCCCCCCAAGACTTCATTTAATTGGCACATTTGTCGCAATTAAGGAACCAACATCAGTGAGTTGCTGTCAACTAAAGTCCATATTATATTTAAATGTCCTTGATTTTTGTTGAATGCCCTTTTTCTGTTCCAATATCCCATCAAGGTACCATATTACATCATCATGAAGTAGCATACATTAGACAAAAATCAAAAGAATGAAAATTATTTGCCAGATAATAATACTGACTTACTGGTTTTTGAAACGTCATCTACCACCAGAGAAAATGATATTCCTGCCAATGTTGGTTTTAAGCTGAAATTTCAATCAGATAACGTGTAGGAAAATGCTTTGGAAGCTGTAAAGTTGTATACAAGCATGAAGTGTTATGATTGTTTCTCACTGAAAAAATACATATTGAAAAAGTAACAGCCCTAACAGTTGTAACCGATTGAGAACGTGTCGATTCTAAGATGCACACTTGCTCATACTTAACATCTCTCCATTGTTGTCAGGCGGCCGCTGTAACGAAGCTGCTATGGCTTGTGCATAGTCTCAAAGGCTTAGAAGGAAATCCTGTAGACCAAAGCAGAACATCCTTTTAAGTACTGCTCTATCACCAGCACTTTTAAAGGTATAAATAAAAATATTGTGTGAAAACAAAAATAGCAATGATTCAAAGTTGGAAGTGGTTAGGAAATTTAGGACTTGGAATTAAAAATATTTTAAACTATTAACCAATTTATTTGCTTGTTTACTCCTTTTATGCACACTTAAAACAAATATAGAATAAAAACCTATGTCTAAGTAATTCTAAAACATTTCTTTCAATTAGGATAAAATTAAAATTCTAAGTAATAAGAAAGTATTGGTGGTAATTTTCAATTAAAGAAATTAATTTTCTTAATTTCCATAAAATAATGTTGCATCTTATAATCAATGGCATTTCATGTTAGATAAAATATGGTATTTGTGACTCAAAATTATAAACTCCTTGATATTCCCTCGCCCGGACCAGCACTCTCCAGGCTGGGCAGGCTAGCACCTCCGCTACGTGGTTTCAGGAGCAAACACCAGTCATGTCGCAAAAGACGCGCTCAAATCCCCTTCTCTGGTTTGCTAAAATTCGCACTCATTATAATTCTTTTCTCCCTTGAGTCAAGTTCCGAGAGCTGCTCATAAAAAATGCAAAGTTGTTTTCCAGAGAGCTAATTGATTAAGACATTATCACTCTCTGATTAGAAGATGAACTAATTTAGTACAAGAGGCAGGCAGTTACTTCGCGAGATACGACAGGTAATTTCTGGTGGCTGCACAAAGCGTTGTTCCAGACTGCTGGCTGCGATGCCAGGCTCACGGCTGGGTCAGCCTGCCACGCGCAAGCGTGCTGAGTAGGAGGAGGGAAGGACCACGGGAGAAGGCTGAGGAAGGGAGCCGAGACAATTCCTGCTCACCCTCCATTTTGCTTATGGTCTTTTTGGCTTGCAGTGTAACCTTTCCTCCTGTCCCTGCACTCTAGCCAAAAAACAGATACAATTTTATTGGAACTAAGCATCTGGGCTGAGGACCTAGGGTAGAACTGAACTTCAGGAGAGCAGAACCTGCCCTTCTTCTCTGGCTTATATTTACACAGCTACAAATCCCATTTAAGTAAGCACTGCCACGGTGCTCATATGGTCTACTAATTTTACAAAGCCCCTCTATGGAAATAACATATAAATGATCTATTTCTACATTTGCTCATTTAATTTTCATCATAACTCTGGACAGTGTTATTTGCCTGCATCTTAAAGATGAAAAACTTAGGCTACAGTAGGTTAAATCACTTGCTTAAAGACACATAGGTAGGACATGGTATAACTAGGCGTCACTCTCAGATCCTGTGATTTGTTACTCTAGAGTTTTCTAACGTAAGAGTAGGCCTCTCTTCTGGGCTAGAGGTGGAATAAAACCACAGGGGCTGCGATACAGGTGAGTGCACGCGGGCCCTGGCCGGTCTGCATTCCGGAGGGCACTGAAGTGCATTCTGACAATGGAATCCTCCAGACCCTCAATGCACTTTCCTCCTCACCTGAGCCTGAGTGCAGGCTGTCTTCACTGCTGGCGTGGCATCGACCACCGTGGCCACAATAGAAAAGAATTTAACCCCCTTCGAAATCTTAGACCAACTTTACAGACTGCAGCAAAAAGGCTAGAACTCTGCAAAACTGCGTGAGTCTGAACTTGGGATGTTCTAAATCCACATAACTAAAATCCAGAGAACCTACCAAGAAGAATCACAATGACTATCTCTCCATTAAGGACTGAAAGCCTATAAAAAAATTAACAAGTTTATTATACCTCCCAGCTTCCAGATTGGTTCCCAAGAAAAAGAAATGTATTTTAAACATTTAAATGTAGAAACAAAAGGAAAAACACTAATAACAAACTCCTGGTCAACTGATTGTTAGAAATGATAAACTGTTTAAATTGTTTAAAATGATAAACAATTAGTTTATCATTTTATTACTCTATTGGGTAAATTTTCTTGGAGAACCTACAATGAGAGGAGCAGAGTGACACTAAAGGATGTCATGTCTTCCTCTGGAGCCTTCCCCATAGGCCACGTCCTGATCCTGCCCTCTGGATTTTATCAGACAGATTTCAAGAGGAGTAAGGATGTAACTCCTAGGACAAGAGCGCCATTTTCCCTAGACAGAGGGTAAAGCTGGGCTGCCCTGTCTGCCCCTTTACCCTGTACCACATTCTGGTCCTGTGGTGCCTCAGAACCTTCTCCATACAAGCACAGGGCTAGGGAGAAAACAGGCCCACTGACTTCTGTGCTCCTCCATCTACAAGCTTCGCCTCTTAGCACAGTGGCCCCGTTGTGGATCTCTGAAGATGCCATTATGTCTTTGACTCATGGCAACATTCCTCCTTTGCCATGAAGTAAGGAGGGATGTCTAGAGCACTCCCTAGAGAGCAATGTAATGACCAACAATTGATCCATGAGAATTATAATAAATCTCAAGAGAAAAACAATAATTGGGAGGAGTTTTTAAATAACGTCTTATGTCTGCTAATATCATAAGTAAGAAAAGAAAGTTAAGTAAGGGGGACAGTATAAGCTCTCTTGAAATTTAAATCTTAAGTAAAGACATAACGTTGGTTCAAATCTTAGCACTGTTCCTTGCCAGCTATGCGACCACAGGCAAGTTACTGAACTTTCCCAAACCCAGACTTCACATCCCTAAATTGAAAATTATAGCAGAACTTATTTATAAGATTATTTGAAAGTTTAAATGGGAGATTTAAGGGCTTGTAGCAGGGCGCCGGACACATAGTAAGTAGTCAATATTAACTGCTATGATAATATTCAAGATAGCCTCAGAGTTATCCCTAGATTCCGTGCACTTGTGGCAATCACTGGAACAGGACGCTAGAAAGAAGCGGACTTGTTAGAGGAAGAGGTAGAGAGTCACACCTCTGTGGGACGCTCAGCTCCCGGAAGCGGACCTTATAAAGCACTGTGGAAAGTATCAGCGTTAAGATAAATAAAAATGGGGGTGTGGGTGGAGATAGAGAAATAGAAGTAACGCTATTATAAGAATATGTTGCAAAATTGTTTAGCCAGATAGAGAATACGTTTCTAACCCATATAATGGCAAAATTGTTTGAATAAAAAAGTTTTTTTCCCTGATCCTGCCCCCATATTCCAGCATATCAAATATATACTGAATATCTACCTTGTACCACGCATCATGCTAGGGGGTGCTGGTATTACCCAAACGAACACATCATACCTGAGGGTACTCTGCCTATAGCAGCCTTCGCCAGACTGTAGACACACCGTTCCGGACAAAGTGAATGCTCCTGTCCACACTGACTATTGCAGAGGTCACCTTCACAGGTAGGGGAAGAGTTTCTTCAGTGAAGGGTACATGAGCACCTCGTTCCTCTGCTAGAATAATAGCAACAACAAACACTTACTGATGCTTACTGCGTACCAGGCACTGTTCTAAGTGCTTTAACCCTTTGCACTCACTTGTTTTTTTCTCGATTCCTTTAATCTACTCGGGATTTAATTTTTTAAATACCCCAGATTTTACAAAGTGCAGCAGTAGAATAAAAAACTGGAGTTTCTTTTCATACAAACTTATTTACTTGGATTTTTTTGTATTTCAAATTATTGATACATTCAAAGAGTAATTTTAATCTCTATAATTTTTGCTAACTGTGTTGAGTCACACTTGACATCCGAGTGCAAAGGATTAATTTTTTAAATCCTCACCAAATATCTTGTGAATTATTAAATAGATGCTACTGTATTCTCATTTCGCAGCTGAGGAAACTAAAACACAGAAATTGAATAACTTGCCCAAGATCACATGGCTAATACGTAGCAGAGCTATGCTACATCTGCTGTGTCTGCCCAAGGTCTGGATGCTGAGCAAGCTCTTCAAATCCACGACCTAGTAGTAAATCTTTGACTCTGACTTTGAGGAGCTCCAATAGTAGCAGGGGGTGAGGTCAGTCCTCTAACCACCTGCTGGAAGTCTCCTTTGGGAAAACAGTATGACTAATGAGTTCTTCACTTGCCTTCCTGAAAAATCATTATCTCCTCAAAATAGAGAGAAAAAGAGGGGGGGAATTACTATTTTGAATGTAATTCTAACTCACAGGAGGAATTGGTTTTAAATTAAAGCAAAAGAAAACATAGCAGAGAAATGGCTATGCAACCCTAGAATTAGTTAGTGACGGCCACATAGGGAAGACTGGGGTCCACTCCACAGCCTCAAGTGAAAGACAGATTTTTCTATCAGAGAAAAACAGGCATGTTACACTAACAGAGCTCATGAACCTAAAAAATGGGTGATTGTTTCAAGAGAATTAAAAACACTCAAAAAAAGCGATTCCAGTTACATAATGATTAACAATTTCAGTTAGGAATTACAGAAAAGCCAGCAGAAGAGGAAGTCACACACTCAAGTGCAAATGAGGGCAGTTGTCCCAGACCTGCAAAGACAGCACTGAAGGGGCTGAGGTGTGTGAGCAAGCGACTTGGGACGACAGAAGAGTTGCCATAATTATGTTCATCACGAAAATCCCAAAAGGTTTGGCCTACTGCTTGGTGCCAATGTTGCAATATACATGAATCACACACACACACATTTTAAAAATTTTCAAGCATATTGTTATTTCTTTTTTCCCATCAAGAACAACAAAACAGGCAGAAAAAGCACCTGAAGAGGAATGAAAACACAAGATGAGTGGAGAGATTTTAAGAGCATCCCCAGCTCCTTTGATGAATTCGAGTATTTCGATTCATATGGATCACTTTCCGAGACACACTGGGCAGTGAAGGTGAGGGAGAGTGGAAGGGAAGCATCTACGTGAAATCGGTCCCAAAAAACTAAAGACAAAGAGATGTTTTTAGTGATCCCAAAAGGGAAGAACATGCATTTTACAGACGACAGGCTGCTGCACTAGCCAGACTGGGGAGGCTTCTTGTTTCTCTTTCACAGGGGACAGCTCTTTCTGGGCTGCTCAGCCTTCAGCAGAGAGGACAGGAGCCAGGAGGGAGGGAAGTGGCTTGCACGGTAGATGTCTTCAGATATTTGGGGAGTAGTCACATGGAAAATTAATTATGTTAATACTGCTTGGTCCCAGTGGTCACGACAAGGACTTAACGGTTAGAGGCAGATGAGTTTGGATTCAATATGAAAAAGATCTGTCTAAAATTTTAATGAGAGAATAGACCCCCTTGGGAAATAATAAGTTCTCTGGCACTGGCAGTGCACATGCTGGGTGTTGTGGAGGAAATAAAAATAATTTCATCTCCCTCCTAACCTGGAGATTAGGAGATTCTAAGACTAGATACCCTCAAACAGACTTTTTCAGCCCTAAAATGCGGACATGTTAAGATTTCTTCCTTCAATGAAGTGTTAAAGTGACAAAACAGTCCCTAAGAAACCATTTCTGCTTAAATCTGCCATGAAACCAGACATTTAAAGAATAATTTTAAAAGCTAATTAACCTACAAATGGCTGAGAATTCTCTATATTCTAGACTATTTTCAAATTGTGACTCAATTTAACACTAGAAGTTTTGGGCCAGGTGTGGTGGCTCACACCTGTAATCCTAGCACTCTGGGAGGCCGAGGGGGAAAGATGGCTTGAGGTCCGGAGTTCAGGACCAACCTGAGCAAAAGTGAGACTCTGAGACCCCGTCTCTACCAAAAAATAGAAAAAAATGGTGGTGTGCACCTGTAGTCCCAGCTGCTCAGGAGGCTGAGGCAGGAGGTCACTTGAGCCCAGGAGTTTGAGGCTGCAGTGAGCATTGATGATGCCACAGCACTCTACCTAGGGCAACAGAATGAGAGCTTGTCTCAAAAAATAAAAAAAAAATAAAAAAAACTAGAACTTTTGGTTTATGGCTGATAATACTCATATACTTATCTTCTCCCATAGAAATAAAAAATAAATACTAAAGTGTATTTATTACAAATCATGTTCTATTGGTCTCATAAATGACACAATTTCACAATTTTTGCATATCTATCAAGTGCAAGCTAATGTCAATCATCAAGTTACATAATGTTGAACTTTGATATAGCCCAAATCAACATCTTTAAGCTATCTGAAATGTATTTTTAAATGCCTGGCTGAAGGCACAAAATGGAGATTTGACACAGTAATACGAACATAAGATTACATTTAAGCAGAGTAAATTTCCCCGTGAACAAGGAACCTAAAGGGGGGTTTCTAGCTTCAGTCAGTGCCCCGAGAAGACGAGGCTGAGATTTTAGGTACGGTCTGTGCTGAAGAGCCGTTATTGAGCGAGACTTCCGGCTGCGATGACAAATGGCATCTATAAATCTTAATGGCCTCTGACTGCCATGTCCCTTTCTTTGGGCAAACTGTTAAAATGGTAAATTCAACAGAAAATCCCCTCCAGCTACTAAATAATCTTAATTCTCTTTCTTCTAATATTCACAATTTGAGATTTTAGTTTTTTGTTATGAACCTTTCATTCATTTCACATCTTCTTCTGCCTCAATAAGCCTTGGGAGCATTTGTTTCTATTGCTGTCTCTGGCCTTTGTTTTATAAATAAGGTACAAATAAGTTTTATAGCCTAAGTCTCAGCATTAAAACCAGAATCGTGGGCTTTTACAACTGAATCCAGCTCATAATCTAGCACACTATAATCTTCTGCCCCTTTAATGCTGACAACTTCATTAAGAAAACCCTTCGCCTGGATCCAGTCTTGAAAATTGTCATTGCCTGTCATCACAGGGCAAGAAAGAAATTATGCCCTTCTTTAAAAATTTACTTAGCAGGAGATAGTATGGTAAAGAAATTAAAACATTTATTGTAAAAACCTTCCTTCAACTCTCTCAATTTTTATACTTCCAACATCTTTCTCAGTTTAAGGATATATTTACAATGCAGTTATTTTCAACTATCTCCTTTATTAACGGCTAAAATACTTTTCCCTGTGAATCAAAATGATAGCTCTGCCAACAATAAATGTCTTTCATGCTTTACAGAGAAAATGTTTCCCAAAGTACTTCTGTCCAGGGAAGAGCTTCAAGCTGTCTGCACCATCTTAATAGGCACTTATAAACCGCCCTGCTCAGAAAGAAGGAAATAACTAAAGATGGAAAGTGTTATCGCCTCACTCCCACCCCTTCCTAGCCTGATTTCCCGCTTCATTTCCAATGCCATTCCCAACGCTGCGGCACTCACTCAGCCCTTATCATCCCGTGCCTGGAACCGCCTTCTAACTGATTTTCCTGACTCCGGTATTACTTCTCTGCTTCAGTTGCTTCGCATGTCAAGTGGAGAATCTTAATGGCACCATCTTTATTGGATTGCTATGAGAAATAAATGAGTGCATGCACAGAAAGTGTTTAGACCGGTGCCTGGCACACAGTAAGAACTTAATAAATGTTAACCCCCATATAAAATATTCTCTATGCTTCTCCAAGGCTGATCATCCTGCAGTAAAAATCTGGATAGATCCAGAATCCACTGTTTCCTTGTCTCTTCTGCTGCTACCATTCTGGTCCAAACCAACATCATCTCCTAACTGGTCTCTTAACTCGTGGCTTAGTGATCCTTTCAACCTTTAAGGGAGATTACATCACTTCCCTGCACACCCTCTTCCTCCCACCCTCCCTCCCTCCCTGCAATCTGCATCCTTCTTCTTCTCCGTCCAGTCTCTGATACCTGATGTACAGCTGCAACTCTTCCTTCATCCCAGACCACTCTTTCCCCCTTGACCTGCTCTGTATTTTTCCATAGCATATATGGCCTTTTGACATACTTTATAATTTACTTGTTGATAATATGTACTGTCTCCCTCAGTACAAAGTAAACTCCATAGGAACACAGTTTTTGTCTGTTTATTCACATGCTCCTAATGCCTAGAATGCCTGGCATGTACCTACCATGTTTAACACATGTTTATCCTATAAAGCAATGTATGGATAAGTGAATAAGCATGTCGCCTGTCTGATGAATGTCCTTCACTATCTCCCTACTGCCAGAGGTAGGTTCAGACTCCTTAGCCAGGTATATAAAGGCTGTAATGATCCAGCCCCTGCCCCTCCCTCATCCCTGATCCCTGACCCTGCGCCCCACACAGCTCACTCTCAGACACACCGAACTATCTGAGCTACCTACAGCTTCCTGGCCATGGAGCTAAACATCTCCTGCTGACTGTCCGGAATGCCTGTGCTCTCTTACCTACCTGGCAAACACCTCCCACCTTTCAGGATGCATCCTTTTCTTGAGCTTCCAAATCCTGTTAGAAGGTATTTGTACCTCCTCTGTGCCCCTGCTATATCCTGAAGAAGCTTCTAGTTCAGCAGTGAAGTCACTGCATTGATTTGTTTGTTTCCATGCCTTTCTTCCTTAACCAGATGATGGGCAGCAACTCATGCACCTAACATTGT